CATTACTGATTATGTTGCAGCGCACAACAGGATTCCACTTATACAAACCAAAAAGGTAAGGTTTCGTCTGGTTTCTTCAAGAGGTTATCTTTTGCTTTGGTTTACTCACAGAGTTGTACTGGTTTTTTAATTCAAAACGTATGTATGCTCCTGTAAGAATATTTCAACAACAGTGCATATTAGTTAGGGTATGAGGGTATCATGTATCTTAACAAAGGCAATGATGGTTCTAATGAAATTTATCATGGCTCCATGGCAACCTTTCTGCTCCATGGCAACCTGTCTGCTCCATGGCAACCTGTCTGCTCCATGGCAACCTGTCTGCTCCATGGCAACCTGTCTGCTCCATGGCAACCTGTCTGCTCCATGGCAACCTGTCTGCTCCATGGCAACCTGTCTGCTCCATGGCAACCTGTCTGCTCCATGGCAACCTGTCTGCTCCATGACAACCCATCTGCTCCATGACAACCCATCTGCTCCGTGACAACCTATCTGCTCCATGACAACCTATCTGCTCCATGACAACCTATCTGCTCCATGACAACCTATCTGCTCCATGACAACCTATCTGCTCCATGACAACCTATCTGCTCCATGACAACCTTTCTGCTCCATGACAACCTATCCACTCCATGACAACCTATCTGCTCCATGACAACCTATCTGCTCCATGACAACCTATCTGCTCCATGACAACCTATCTGCTCCATGACAACCTTTCTGCTCCATGACAACCTATCTGCTCCATGACAACCTATCTGCTCCATGACAACCTATCTGCTCCATGACAACCTATCTGCTCCAGTTGTCTCAATAGAGTGCAGATGCTACGTGGGTTACTTCCTGTTGCAGACCGTCGCCAAGTACGGTAATTCAAACGCTCGCTTCTTGTACTGTAAATACGTGTAAACTCAGGAGTTGCAATGTTGATCTGTTATCGTTGAGTCTATCCTACAATATTTGGTTGATTGTTGGGCCACTCCTCACCAGTGTAGTTTCTTAGCGACGGCTGTTTCTAGGTGTGATATTGATAAGTTTTGAAGACACTGCTGAGTGTAAAGTGAGAAGATGTCAGATGCTGACGTGTTCAACTTTGAAGGTGGTATCCAGCTAGAAGAAGGAGAAGATACTGGTCATTTAGCTGGCTTCACTCCTCCACCTTCTCATGATGTAAGATTGTTTCTATAGTAACCATCACGAACACTTCATTAGTTATTAGTCTCATCTTGTGGTCAGACTTTCAAATCTCAACTACCATGGGTATTTCAAATATCACGTATATCGGAAACACACTATATTGCCGTAATTCTTCACAGACCTAGAGGTATTTGTGAATTAGGCCACGAATTTGATCTAACCCAGGAAAAAAATAATGTTCACAACAGAAGTACTAGTTCCCGCGTGCATCCAGTCATATAATGATAAATTCTAAATATCATAATAGGGATAATGGAACACGCGAATAATTAACTCTCTGTCATGATTGTATTCTAAAGGTATATTCGATAGGTATGCAGTCTCCACCGCAGTGTATTATGTACCTAAATGTACTGACATTGTCCGGAGAAGAAGCCGCGCAGGAATTACTGTTTTTGGATCAAGCTATAATCCTATCATGGTCACATTTCAACATTTCACCGCGCACCATTGATCGTATTCTTTATACTTCACGTCACCATCCAATACCATCATAATATGTTTATTATTTTTCTTATTTCCTTATTTCTATAAGAGAAATAATAGTAATAAGAGAAATAAGAGAAATAAGAGAAATAATAGAAATAAGAGAAATAAGAGAAATAAGAGAAATAATAGAAATAATAGAAATAAGAGAAATAAGAGAAATAAGAGAAATAAGAGAAATAAGAGAAATAAGAGAAATAAGAGAAATAAGAGAAATAAGAGAAATAAGAGAAATAAGAGAAATAAGAGAAATAAGAGAAATAAGAGAAATAAGAGAAATAAGAGAAATAAGAGAAATAAGAGAATAAGAGAAATAAGAGAAATAAGAGAAATAAGAGAAATAAGAGAAATAAGAGAAATAAGAGAAATAAGAGAAATAAGAGAAATAAGAGAAATAAGAGAAATAAGAGAAATAAGAGAAATAAGAGAAATAAGAGAAATAAGAGAAATAAGAGAAATAAGAGAAATAAGAGAAATAAGAGAAATAAGTGAAATAAGTGAAATAAGAGAAATAAGAGAAATAAGAGAAATAAGAGAAATAAGAGAAATAAGAGAAATAAGAGAAATAAGAGAAATAAGAGAAATAAGAGAAATAAGAGAAATAAGAGAAATAAGAGAAATAAGTGAAATAAGTGAAATAAGTGAAATAAGAGAAATAAGTGAAATAAGTGAAATAAGTGAAATAATTGAAATAAGTGAAATAAGTGAAATAAGAGAAATAAGATAAAACCTGAGAGAAGCTTGCTCCACCAGCTAATAAAGCTAGTTTTAAAAGTGTTATTACTTGTTAAGTTATTCACTCCACAATCGCGCAATCCGAACTTTGCCGGCAAAATTTTCGTGTCTGTAAAACTGATAATATTGATTTTGTGAGTTTAATAAAGTATATTGAAATTACTGATCGGTAATTTACATTATATTTTTCATAATTAAGAGATTTATTTACGTTTGCTAACCTGCAAATATTTTTCAGGAGCAAGAACCAGCATCAGCGGTAAGTGCGGTGTAAGAAGCGGGGGGGGGGGGGGGGGGATCTGCGGTAAGTGCGGTGTAAGAAGCAGGGGGGGGTAAACAAATAATGATACCAACAAATTTTCATTAATGAATATTCGCTATACATCGTATATAATATATCCAATAATTGCACACATACACTATATTTTTCTATCATTTTTCCTCATAGTAAAAGTGCCATGGTGGGACTAACAAGGGGGCGAATAATCATTTAACATTAACAAGCTTTATTTTGTTAATTCTTTTGATTGTTTGTGGGATGTTTCTTACTGCATACTACCTTAACTCAGGGACAAAAGGAAATCGCGGCATGTACGGGATCGCGATTTTTCTCATTCTTTGCGACAAATTTGATGTATAATAGTCTTACGTATAGTCTGTCAAAAATCGCGGTATCGCGATTTTTGGGCAAAATAATCGCGATTTTCTTTTGTCCCTGCCTTAACTTGACCTATGCTATACTACATATATCTCTTTAATACTAGCCTTTATCTATTTACACTACCTATATCTTTATTACTATTAGGTAGGTTCCTAATCTTTATCTAAAGTCCTAGTGTTCCAGTTTGTTGTTGGCACAATCAATACAGCGCACACTTACCACAATATGAGGAAAGCTAATCACAGTACACCAATCTAAATTTAATTCCAGTTTTATACAATTTATTTATCCACAATACCTTGCGGTTACCAGCTGTCCATCTGGCTCCATGTGCGGCCCCACGTGTCTCAGTCACGTGTATCACATGTGACCGAGACGAGGAGCTTCTCACGGTTACACGCACTACACAGTCCGCACGGAGAGTACGCATCTCCGGTTGTGCACTAACGACCCCCTGGGTATCCACCCTGTTATTTGGAGCTGATCATTAAGACACATTCCATTGTAGCATTGTGTATATTATCCAGTTCTCAGAAGCAGTCTGTTATCTAATCCTTGTAGTATTTGAGTACCACACTTCATGTGGAGTGTCAGGATACACACTTGTAGAGTTACAGAGCAATCCAGTGTAGTGTTTTCAGTACAGTGTTCTCAGTATGTGTACTGAAAACACTGTAACTATATTTACTTACCCATAGTGGAGATCTCTAGTGGAGATCTCTAGTGGATAAAGCTCCTCATGAAAGTCGTGATCTTCACTAGCTCCTCATGGTGTATCCACTCGAAACGCTAAGAACTTTGAACAAACTTTACAAAACGTATTTCTCACCGTAGAATTGATTAAAAGTGATCCAGTAATGATTGAATCGATTTTTATTTGTATTTTGATTGGCTGAACTTATTGACAATTTCTAAAAAACCGCCATTTCGCAATCGGTGCACTATAGTTTTAAGTACAGCATAATCATATAATATATATACATAATATTAAGTTATAGTGGCCAGTATCTTACTTTGAATTAGTGAAGAATTATTAGTGGAGAATTACTGTAGTTTTGTTGCTTTGTTTTTTCTGGAATTTTATTGTTTTGACCCGTCATCCGATGCTGCTTTTTCGATAGAATTTTGCAAATTTTGTGTGCTCTTTGCTTTTCATAAAGGTCGTTGGTTTATCTTTTTCCCATTCTAGATTTCAAGAAGCAAGAGAGTGCTTCATGGTTGATCTCAAGGTCATGATGAATTAAGCATCAGAATCATCACTAAAAACCATGAGTGCCATAGGGACACCGCAACAAATAGTTCCTAATGATTCGGAATATCCACGAGTCCTAGCCAAAAAGGTTTCAGTTGGCTGTTGCCAAAAACTGTTTGGAAATGAGTCTGTAAGTATATTGAAATGTTTGGAAATGAGCCTGTAAGTATATTGAAATGTTTGGAAATGAGCCTGTAAGTATATTGAAATGTTCGGAAATGAGCCTGTAAGTATATTGAAATGTTTGGAAATGAGCCTGTAAGTATATTGAAATGTTTGGAAATGAGCTTGTAAGTATATTGAGCTTAATCTCAGGTTAATTTGACATTGAATGTTAAACAAAAGTAACATCTATTACTATATTCTAATCTAGAATAGAATTATGGAACATTTGCAGACGGTACAATGTCTTTGTTCAACACGGTCACCCCTTTTCACACATCTCTTTTCTTCTGCACTCGCACGAGCGTGACTATCAGAGCATCGGGCGTGACTCGGAGAATTCCTACTAAAATCCCGTATCTCACATCCTTCATCGGATTTGGTTTAATTAATGATATGAATGCTATACTACTGGATCCGCGGGCTGGGCGAATACAAAACATTAATTAACAGCACCGGAGTGACCATTGTATGGTGTCTACTGTCTAAACACGCTGCATCCACTGTTGTATGTCTCACACCTTACACAGGTCTCCGCTTTCCTTTGTTACGTCTTGCTCTGCATGTTCTTACGAAATAGTTTCTGTGGTTGCTTTAAAATAGTTTCTGTGGAACCTAGTAGAGGCTACACACTCTAGGTAGTGATGTAAGGGAGACCTCTCCTCGTCACGTCCAGCTAATGAAAGAAAGATTGTCTTCCTTTAATAATGACTCAGCGTACTTGTTACTGCACGATGTAAATGCTAGTTCGGACTATGGTTCCACAGGCAATAGTGCTCCCTCAGTCACAGTCAGCTACCCAGTTGATGAGGATGATACTTTGAGTGATTCTAATAGTTATTCAAAAAAGGTACTCAGATTTACACTTTCCTGGTCGTTCCTTGAACTTGAAGCCTATTTCAATATTTTTATAACACCATAGATTGCATTTATCATTATGTCCAAGTCTCATCTTGTCTAGACGATTGGTAGCACATACTGAGCGACATATTTTATATTATGTTAAGTTCAATGATAAAATACCCCGATTACACCCAATGAACCGAGTTATTCTAGAGGGTCCAATGTTGGACCTTGAGGGACCCCGTGGTGAATGGTAATACTTGCTGCTTGTATTGCCACACTACATATTATATTGCATATTATACAACATATTACTGTGGTCATACTACATATTATACTACATATTATATTACATATTATACTACATATTATACTATATATTAATTACATATTATACTACATATTATACTACATATTATACTACATATTACTGTGGTTATTCTACATATTATATTACATATTACTGTGGGTGTACTACATAGTAGTATTATACTACATATTACTGTGGTTATACTACATATTATACTACAACTGTGGTTATACTACACTAAACTACATCCTCGTTTATTTCCATCGAGAATCGCCTAAAGTAAAGTAATACTACATACAGTGTTATACTACATAGTAGTATTATACTACATATTACTGTGGTTATATTATATGTTCTACTACTGTGGGTAATGAAATTGTTCTTCAGGAGGACTACGATTACTCCCTTCACTACTTCCGAGCTGATCCAGATAAACGGATAGGTATATTGATTTAACATAACCAATAAACATACTTGCTTATTGCTGCTATCTTAGAAAATCATGGGAAGGTCCTTCTTGAACGATAATACGAACGTTTAAACTAGAACCATATCTGCCTTAAAGATTGGAATATACATTGGTTGGCAACCTTTTGGAAAATGCTTGAATCTAACAATGATATATCTCAGACTTTGTTCTCTCATATAGAGAAGTGATAGAGGATCTAGAAGAATGCGGAGAGAAAACTCCCATCCAGAAGACGGGAAAAGAACTTGACGCTAAGAAGAAAAGGAGGATCTTTGAAGAAAACCTTGAGAGGAAGGGACTTTCTATTGAACGCGTTAGTAACACTGACGTCACAGTGACAGAATTATTGCACTGGAATCTCTTTTATAGTAGCTCTAATACCTTAATTCGTATTACACTGGCTCCATATCGAGAAATGTTTAATTTTTACATGTTACTATACATGTTACTATACATGTTACTATACATGTTACTATACAAGTTACTATACATGTTACTATACATGTTACTATACATGTTACTATACATGTTACTATACATGTTACTATACATGTTACTATACATGTTACTATACATGTTACTATACATGTTACTATACATGTTATAGTTATAACAATCTTTATCAGGAAACATATGACAAGAATGAGGGTTCGGACATTAAGAGGATTGTTTACGTGAAGGTTCACGCAACCAAGCAGTGCCTTTTCGAGTATGCAGAACATCTGCAAGTCAAGAAGCTGCTAAAGGTTTGTAAATACGCCATCCCTTGTTCTCTTTATATGTTCTTTAATCTTTATGTGTTCTTCATAATAATATGTTCTTTATGGGTGATTGATGTGTTCTTTAAGTAACTCGGTATGCTGTTCGGTGTTCAACTACAATTTTGCTGATAAGTCTTTTGAATAATCTATCCCCTGTCCGTATATTCCGTGCTGCTCATTTCAAGTTAATACTAATAAATTGAGGTTATGAACAGAATGGCAGTAAAACCCCACGAGTGAGTACAGATAATCGCTTCACTTACTGTTCAGGCTGTTTTGCTTTGCATCCCGACATTATGGCAAAAATCAAAGTCGGAGCTTATTTTGATTCGGTTTTAATTTGCAACTCTACACTCTACAACGTGGTCAAGCTTGAAACTGAGATTTCCTGGATGAGAAAAACAATGTATTATAGTTGTGTTAAATAGCATTACATAGTGAGAGGCCTTAAGGTGACCTCGTCTAAAATAATATGAAATTGACGAGTGACGGGTTGTTAACTTCAGATAGATCCTATGAAGATATTTAGAGATGAGTATAAGGAGGAGAGGAGTTGGTTTGATTGGAAGCTCTTCTCATCTCTACACAGGTACTAACACTAGATACAGTGTACTAACAGTGTTATCTAGCTATTCTCATCTCTACACAGGTACTAACACTAGATACAGTGTACTAACAGTGTTATCTAGCTATTCTCATCTCTACACAGGTACTAACAGTGTTATCTAGGTACTAACACTAGATACAGTGGCGTAACGAAGGGCCCCGCTGACCCCGTTAACAGTAGCTAACATTCATTATGTCACAAGAATTAATTAGGAGAACCTCAAATTACTGGTAGTTTACTGGATACCATTACTGGTAATTTCCGTAAATCGTACGAACCTTATCAAGCGAACTATTGCAGGGGTGAAAAGTTTTACAAAGATGAGATATGGGATGAAATGAAGAATCACAAGATCAGTGCAAGATTCGCTCAAAACAAAGCTGAAAGGTTAGTTTTAATTTTACACAAAATGCAAATTTCTGATGCAAACCCTTCATTCGCTCTGATAGTCTATTCAGTTTTAATCAGTAATAATTGGTATTAATAAGCAATAGTCTGCTTCTTATTCTCAGCGGACTAATTTGTTGTAGAATCCGTGCTTTCAGTGTTTACTATGTTGTCTGAAGGTTTACACAATACTGTAAAACAATAAAATGGGCTTACTTACATTCATCTGTAGAAATACATGTTACAATTTTGCTTTCTAGGAAATTGCTCTCTGGGATGTTAGTGGAAAATCCTAGTAACAATAAGAACTAAAATTTGGTTTTTGTATGATTGAGAAACCATAAAAATCAAGCAAGTAAAAATAAAGTACCTTCGTAACGTTAACACTGTGTTCCCTGTGTGACAAATGAAGGGAAGTCAATGTGACGTCATAGTGACGTCACTGTTTCTGTCACCGTGACGTCACTGCAAAATAACCTTAACACTGTCTGAAGGTTCATAAACCACGACGAGCCGGGATTCTTTACCACGGGGGAGAGGTCTTACATCGTCTCCTACATTCTAGAAGAGACTCCTTTTACAGAAGAGAATAAATCCGGTCAGAAAGATAACGTCGGTGAGTGCAACTAAAAAAGAAACAAATTTATAACTCTCTAACTCTCTGTATATAGTACAGACAAATGCGATTTTTATTTTCAAATGGAATTTTGAAATTTTGAAATTGTGGATTATTTTATCCAAATTCCTTTTACATAAATATTATAATGTAAATACTAATATAAATAATAATGCAGGTATAGAGTATCTGCTGCAAGATGATGTTTATTCCGCCTGGTATCCTCTCCATGATGTGAGTGTTTAGTATTATTACGCTATACTGCTTATCATACACCCTCATTGGTTATATGCGTACAATGATGTTAATCGTTGTGTTAGCGCTTAATTGTATTCAAAGAATGAAAGTATTAACTAATGTTCTGTACAGCAAGCTGGTCTCAAGTCCAGACACCATCATTGTTCTAGTCTTGACGTAAACTGTTGAATATTGTTCAACTGCTGAATATTGTTCAACTGCTGAATATTGTTCAGCTGCTGAATATTGTTCAACTGCTGAATATTGTTCAGCTGCTGAATATTGTTCAACTGCTGAATATTGTTCAACTGCTGAATATTATTCAACTGCTGAATATTGTTCAACTGCTGAATATTGCTCAACTGCTGAATATTGTTCAACTGCTGAATATTGTTCAACTGCTGAATATTGTTCAACTGCTGAATATTGTTCAACTGCTGAATATTGTTCAACTGCTGAATATTGTTCAACTGCTGAATATTGTCCAACTGCTGAATATTGTTCAACTGCTGAATATTGTTCAGCTGCTAAATATTGTTCAACTGCTGAATATTGTTCAACTGCTGAATATTGTTCAACTGCTGAATATTGTTCAACTGCTGAATATTGTTCAACTGCTGAATATTGTTTAACTGCTGACTATTGTTCAACTGCTGAATATTGTTCAACTGCTGAATATTGTTCAACTGCTGAATATTATTCAGTATAAAAACTGCACTCCATTAACAATATTTAACTAAAGTTCCGTCCCAGGGACCTTATGAGTTGCCCAATGTGGAAGATCGGCCCGAGGATGAGAAAGTATTCCTTAACGACAGACAGGTAAAAACACATTACTATGGTTACACAGTTACTATAGTTACTATAAACACAGTGAATTAACATTATTATAGTAATGATAAACACATTAGTAGTACTACTACTACTATATATTGGTAACACAGCTAATTGAGATGTTAACTGCAGGTTCTGAGCATGTTCTGGTCGGATTGGGGGAGATGGTACAAGTACCAGCCTCTCAACAGAGTCAGAATCTACTTCGGAGATACTGTCGCCATGTACTTCGCCTGGCTCGGTACGTTATAGAGTGTAGAGTGTAGAGTGTAGAGTGTAGAGTGTAGAGTGTAGAGTGTAGAGTGTAGAGTGTAGAGTGTAGAGTGTAGAGTGTAGAGTGTAGAGTGTAGAGTGTAGAGTGTAGAGTGTAGAGTGTAGAGTGTAGAGTGTAGAGTGTAGAGTGTAGAGTGTAGAGTGTAGAGTGTAGAGTGTAGAGTGTAGAGTGTAGAGTGTAGAGTGTAGAGTGTAGAGTGTAGAGTGTAGAGTGTAGAGTGTAGAGTGTAGAGTGTAGAGTGTAGAGTGTAGAGTGTAGAGTGTAGAGTGTAGAGTGTAGAGTGTAGAGTGTAGAGTGTAGAGTGTAGAGTGTAGAGTGTAGAGTGTAGAGTGTAGAGTGTAGAGTGTAGAGTGTAGAGTGTAGAGTGTAGAGTGTAGTGTAGAGTGTAGAGTGTAGAGTGTAGAGTGTAGAGTGTAGAGTGTAGAGTGTAGAGTGTAGAGTGTAGAGTGTAGAGTGTAGAGTGTAGAGTGTAGAGTGTAGAGTGTAGAGTGTAGAGTGTAGAGTGTAGAGTGTAGAGTGTAGAGTGTAGAGTGTAGAGTGTAGAGTGTAGAGTGTAGAGTGTAGAGTGTAGAGTAGCAATACTACCAGGAAAACTTTTTTCGAGAATCAAATTGGATCATAATTTGGATTTAATGAAAAAATTACTTGAATCTTTATGTAATTTTCAATCAGGTTTTTACACAAAGTTACTGATAGTTCCAGCGGTTGTTGGTAGCATTGTCTTCGCCTACGATATCTACTCCATCATCGGCAACGAAGTTGTGTAAGTTATAAACTTTTCATACAAATTGAACTCTCCCGATCTAGATTAAAATTGATTAAATGTCATTGATTATTGTGCTTCCAAAGAATTTGCACGTTCTCATAAAGTACTGAGGTTTAACTGTTAAGTGGCATATTTTCATTTTATTAAAAAATGTGCTAAGTGGGAATTATTACATCATTGATATCCAAAAAAGGTATACAATTTTCATTTTTGGCACCAATGACAACTCAAAATGCTAACTTAAAATAAACTTAAAATAAAGCAACATAATTCTGGTTACAGAGACGACTTCTGTAACTCCACATATAACCTATACGGGGCAGCTGATATCAGGAGCAGAAGGCTGTGCTCCCTGTGTGACAAATGCAGGGAAGTCAATGCCACCTCTCACTGCCTCAAGTTCACTGTGAGTCTCTGTCCGAGTGCCGTCATAGTGACGTCACTGCTTCTGTCACAGTGACGTCACTGCTTCTATCAATGTGCGGTTACTGCTTCTATCAATGTGCGCCTCTACATGTTCTTAATCCAGCAGCTGAACACAGTGGCGTAACAAAGTGCCCCGCCGACCCCGCTGTGCGGGGGGGGGGGGGGGGGGCGTTTCGCTCTAGAAACACCCTTGTTTAGAGATTTTACCGGTGTATCCTCTAAATTCATCTAATTTGTTCAATTTTAGGGAGGGGCGCCAAAAGGGGAGGGGGCGCCAACAGGGGGCGCCTTTTCAGCGGGGGGGGGGGGGGGGGGGGGCGCCAACAAGCAACGTTACGCCACTGGCTGAACATGGTTCTGTGTGAGGGGGTGTGGTTTCTGTAAGGGTGGAATTCTATTGTTACATTCTTTCGGCAGAATCACATGGAGCTGTGCCGCATTTCAGGGGTACAGTGCCGAATATTGCTTCTATACCTGGGCGTTGCTGCTCTGTCATACTTACAGTTTACTTACAGTTTATTTACAGTTTACTTACAGTTTACTTACAGTTTACTTACAGTTTACTTACAGTTTACTTACAGTTTACTTACAGTTTACTTACAGTTTACTTACAGTTTACTTACAGTTTACTTACAGTTTACTTACAGTTTACTTACAGTTTACTTACAGTTTACTTACAGTTTACTTACAGTTTACTTACAGTTTACTTACAGTTTACTTACAGTTTACTTACAGTTTACTTACAGTTTACTTACAGTTTACTTACAGTTTACTTACAGTTTACTTACAGTTTACTTACAGTTTACTTACAGTTTACTTACAGTTTACTTACAGTTTACTTACAGTTTACTTACAGTTTACTTACAGTTTACTTACAGTTTACTTACAGTTTACTTACAGTTTACTTACAGTTTACTTACAGTTTACTTACAGTTTACTTACAGTTTACTTACAGTTTACTTACAGTTTACTTACAGTTTACTTACAGTTTACTTACAGTTTACTTACAGTTTACTTACAGTTTACTTACAGTTTACTTACAGTTTACTTACAGTTTACTTACAGTTTACTTACAGTTTACTTACAGTTTACTTACAGTTTACTTACAGTTTACTTACAGTTTACTTACAGTTTACTTACAGTTTACTTACAGTTTACTTACAGTTTACTTACAGTTTACTTACAGTTTACTTACAGTTTACTTACAGTTTACTTACAGTTTACTTACAGTTTACTTACAGTTTACTTACAGTTTACTTACAGTTTACTTACAGTTTACTTACAGTTTACTTACAGTTTACTTACAGTTTACTTACAGTTTACTTACAGTTTACTTACAGTTTACTTACAGTTTACTTACAGTTTACTTACAGTTTACTTACAGTTTACTTACAGTTTACTTACAGTTTACTTACAGTTTACTTACAGTTTACTTACAGTTTACTTACAGTTTACTTACAGTTTACTTACAGTTTACTTACAGTTTACTTACAGTTTACTTACAGTTTACTTACAGTTTACTTACAGTTTACTTACAGTTTACTTACAGTTTACTTACAGTTTACTTACAGTTTACTTACAGTTTACTTACAGTTTACTTACAGTTTACTTACAGTTTACTTACAGTTTACTTACAGTTTACTTACAGTTTACTTACAGTTTACTTACAGTTTACTTACAGTTTACTTACAGTTTACTTACAGTTTACTTACAGTTTACTTACAGTTTACTTACAGTTTACTTACAGTTTACTTACAGTTTACTTACAGTTTACTTACAGTTTACTTACAGTTTACACCCGCTATACCTAGTTATACTATCTACATGTGCTGCACTGTACCTCCGCCAATATCTATATGCCAATTGCATCATACTGCTACGCTTAATAGAGCTAATAGAGGGTGACAAGTGACGTCACGCACCACGTTTTATGACGTCACACACCACGTGTTATGACGTCACGCACCACGTTTTATGACGTCACGCACCACGTTTTATGACGTCACACACCACGTGTTATGACGTCACACACCACGTGTCATACTGCTACGCTAAATAGAGCTAATTCCTTAATCTTCTCTAAAACTGCAACTAAACGCTTGTTGGAGTGTAAACAAGGTGCTTGTAGCCGGGGGATGACATTTTAACCATTATTTGATGGGAATTTTAACCTTATGAATAGCTGCATGATCATGCTAAAACTTGGTGTTTTGATGATCAGGAAAGTCACTATCGGTATTCACCTAAAATGATCAGATCGTCATCTCCCCAACATGGTACTTTTAAGGAATTGTTATAGTTATGGTAGAAACTTAAATTAAGATGTGAAATTGGTAAAAAATAGTGTTACATGAAATATCATCATAACTTAAAAAGTAAACGACTTAAAGCTTCCAAACTATCATACGCCCTCAGAAATTTGATGATTGCGAGATTTTAATGGGGTCCTTGACCACGAAACTTCCATCGGGAGCCGAGATACGAAATTTCATCCAACCGTGTATTGCGATTCAATATTTGCAGGATCAAAACGACTAAATTCATATAAAATTAAGCCTGACAATGTGCTGGACATTATGGCTTGTTAACGATGTGGAGAAGGTACCATGATAACCGTGGTACCATGGTTACCATGGTAGCATGGTTACCATGGTTACCATGGTTACCATGGTTACCATGGTTACCGTGGTACCATGGTAACACTGTTATCTGGAACTCATTTCCTGTTCAACTCCAGGGGAGGTGTTTGTGAAGAAGACACTTCCGGGGCTCTGATGTGTTCAGCGTGTGATAGGTGTATTGATGAACCTCTTGCTATGTACTGCTTCTCTACCTATGTGAGTGGTTCTGCAGTCTTATATGCAGAGGATAAACTGTGAAACTGTTTCACTAAAATGCAGGGGATAAAGCAAACTGTTTCACTAAAATGGCACGACTGCCCGGACTGCAGCATTTCACCATTTAGTTTTGTAGTGGTGGTGTACTACTGATCAGTTCACTGATTCACTACAAGAGTATTATCAAAGTAGGAGTGATCATTAGTTCCTCAGCGCAGCTTATTCGATCGTTAGCATTTATTCAAAAGCAAATCGGCAAAAATCCTATTTAAATTTATCCAAACAAAAAAGCACGGCGGTTTATTGGATAAAATGCATTCCCTTCCCGGGAACATATAACAAATACCTTTTGTCACAAAGCCGTACAAACATGAACACTTGAACGCAAACCTAAAACGCTTCCTTCCTTGTATTGCCCCAACTCAGCAATATAATAGCGCTACCTCAGTGACGCGGTGTGACGTCACAACTCAGCAATATAATAGCGCTACCTCAGTGACGCGGTGTGCGATGAAAACAGCAGCAATACTGAAGCGCACTGTGACGTCACTGTGTCTCACTGTGACGTCACTGTGACGTCACAACTCAGCAATATAATAGCGCTACCTCAGTGACGCGGTGTGCCTCACTGTGACGTCACTGTGACGTCACAACTCAGCAATATAATAGCGCTACCTCAGTGACGCGGTGTGTCTCACTGTGACGTCACTGTGACGTCACAACTCAGCAATATAATAGCGCTACCTCAGTGACGCGGTGTGCCTCACTGTGACGTCACTGTGACGTCACAACTCAGCAATATAATAGCGCTACCTCAGTGACGCGGTGTGCGATGAAAACAGCAGCAATACTGAAGCGCACTGTGACGTCACTGTGTCTCACTGTGACGTCACTGTGACGTCACAACTCAGCAATATAATAGCGCTACCTCAGTGACGCGGTGTGTGATGAAAACAGCAGCAATACTGAAGCGCACTCCCCAATATGCCCGGCTTGTGATGAAGAGTGTGACGTCACTGTGTCTCACTGTGACGTCACTGTGACGTCACAACTCAGCAATATAATAGCGCTACCTCAGTGACGTCACTGTGACGTCACAACTCAGCAATATAATAGCGCTACCTCAGTGACGCGGTGTGTGATGAAAACAGCAGCAATACTGAAGCGCACTCCCCAATATGCCCCGCTTGTGATGAAGAGTGTGATATCGTGGACCTCAAATCATTTTGTAATCTATTTATGGTGAGAGGCGTGATATGGAATGATCAGTTTAACTGCATGAGTGGTCTGGAGTGCATTAAGTTTGATGTTTTTATATTTTATTTCATCGTTTTGCATCTCTTGTTTATTTATATCTCTTGTTTCAGATGCATGGTTTGATTTGTTCCGTTTTTAGTTATAAACCGTTCAGGACTGCTTTGCAGAAGCAGCTTGGTAAATTCCACAGGTTATAATTATAGTTATGCTAATCCAAACGGAAACAGATTTAGTGGTTTTCTTCGCTGTCGAGTTGAATATCTATTCCTAAGGAATAGTGTTCCTTTTTAAAAGTTCCTGTTTTTTAAACCTCTCCAACATATTATAACTATAAGGGTGAAATCTGAACACTAAGAGTGATGTCTTTATAACCTTTGTTATTCATTATGCTGAAATTGCCCGATTTTCGATTCCAATGCAGGAGCTGTAGCACGCATGAATCTTCATTGCATTATATCCTTATGATTTCATGTATTATTTCCTTATGATTTCATGTATTATTTCCTTGTGCATTGTGATTTCCGTATTATTTGAAGAAATGAGCTATTAAATTTGAAAACCTGGAAAAATTTTCATGAAATCGAAATTATGATATCAATTTTTTGTGATATGAAAATCTTCCTTAGCGTTTGACATTAATTATTTACAGGTGGCGAACGCGTTTAATAACGGGGGTTCAGTATTCTTTGCAATATTCATCTCCTTTTGTTACAGGTGGCGAACGCGTTTAATAACGGGGGTTCGGTATTCTTTGCAATATTCATCTCCTTTTGTTACAGGTGGCGAACGCGTTTAATAACGGGGGTTCAGTATTCTTTGCAATATTCATCTCCTTTTGTTACAGGTGGCGAACGCGTTTAATAACGGGGGTTCAGTATTCTTTGCAATATTCATCTCCTTTTGTTACAGGTGGCGAATGCGTTTAATAACGGGGGTTCAGTATTCTTTGCAATATTCATCTCCTTTTGTTACAGGTGGCGAACGCGTTTAATAACGGGGGTTCGGTATTCTTTGCAATATTCATCTCCTTTTGTTACAGGTGGCGAATGCGTTTAATAACGGGGGTTCAGTATTCTTTGCAATATTCATCTCCTTTTGTTACAGGTGGCGAACGCGTTTAATAACGGGGGTTCAGTATTCTTTGCAATATTCATCTCCTTTTGTTACAGGTGGCGAACGCGTTTAATAACGGGGGTTCAGTATTCTTTGCAATATTCATCTCCTTTTGTTACAGGTGGCGAACGCGTTTAATAACGGGGGTTCAGTATTCTTTGCAATATTCATCTCCTTTTGTTACAGGTGGCGAACGCGTTTAATAACGGGGGTTCAGTATTCTTTGCAATATTCATCTCCTTTTGTTACAGGTGGCGAACGCGTTTAATAACGGGGGTTCAGTATTCTTTGCAATATTCATCTCCTTTTGTTACAGGTGGCGAACGCGTTTAATAACGGGGGTTCAGTATTCTTTGCAATATTCATCTCCTTTTGTTACAGGTGGCGAACGCGTTTAATAACGGGGGTTCAGTATTCTTTGCAATATTCATCTCCTTTTGTTACAGGTGGCAAACGCGTTTAATAACGGGGGTTCAGTATTCTTTGCAATATTCATCTCCTTTTGTTACAGGTGGCAAACGCGTTTAATAACGGGGGTTCAGTATTCTTTGCAATATTCATCTCCTTTTGTTACAGGTGGCGAACGCGTTCAATAACGGGGGTTCAGTATTCTTTGCAATATTCATCTCCTTTTGTTACAGGTGGCGAACGCGTTCAATAACGGGGGTTCAGTATTCTTTGCAATATTCATCTCCTTTTGTTACAGGTGGCGAACGCGTTTAATAACGGGGGTTCAGTATTCTTTGCAATATTCATCTCCTTTTGTTACAGGTGGCGAACGCGTTTAATAACGGGGGTTCAGTATTCTTCGCAATATTCATCTCCTTTTGTTACAGGTGGCGAACGCGTTTAATAACGGAGGTTCAGTATTCTTTGCAATATTCATCTCCTTTTGTTACAGGTGGCGAACGCGTTTAATAATGGGGGTTCAGTATTCTTTGCAATATTCATCTCCTTTTGTTACAGGTGGCGAACGCGTTTAATAACGGGGGTTCAGTATTCTTTGCAATATTCATCTCCTTTTGTTACAGGTGGCGAATGCGTTTAATAACGGGGGTTCAGTATTCTTTGCAATATTCATCTCCTTTTGTTACAGGTGGCGAATGCGTTTAATAACGGGGGTTCAGTATTCTTTGCAATATTCATCTCCTTTTGTTACAGGTGGCGAACGCGTTTAATAATGGGGGTTCAGTATTCTTTGCAATATTCATCTCCTTTTGTTACAGGTGGCGAACGCGTTTAATAACGGAGGTTCAGTATTCTTTGCAATATTCATCTCCTTTTGTTACAGGTGGCGAACGCGTTTAATAACGGGGGTTCAGTATTCTTTGCAATATTCATCTCCTTTTGTTACAGGTGGCGAATGCGTTTAATAACGGGGGTTCAGTATTCTTTGCAATATTCATCTCCTTTTGTTACAGGTGGCGAACGCGTTTAATAACGGGGGTTCAGTATTCTTTGCAATATTCATCTCCTTTTGGTGTGAGTCTGCTTTAAGATTTAATTATATTTGTATTTATGATTCCATATTTGCACCGTGTACCAATATTTATTTGGGAAAAACTGTGCAAGGAAAATATTTGGCTTTAAATTTCGAAGACATGAATGATGATCGGATTCAAAGGATTGTTCCTAAAACAATTACTATACTCTAAACGCATACACAATAAGTTCGCTCTTCTCAAATAAGAACAAAGTTAATTAACGATTTACCATTAATTTACCGTTAATTAACGATTTACCCGAGCTACAAATTACATGTCTGATGTTTCAATAATTAATTAATTACAAAACCATCAGCTGCGTTCTTCCTGGAGTTCTGGAAACGCTACCAGATAACTTTAGCGTTCCTCTGGAGCAAAGCTGACTTTACGGACGCCCAGGAACCGGCCAGACCTGAATATGCGGTCACGTGCGAGGAGGACGACGTCAGGTATGAGCAACAATAGTAGGGGGAGGGGGTTCTACTTCAACAATAGTAGGGGGAGGGGGTTCTACTTCAACAATAGTATGGGGAAGGGGTTCTACTTCAACAATAGTAGGGGGAGGGGGTTCTACTTCAACAATAGTAGGGGGAGGGGGTTCTACTTCACTAATAGTAGGGGGAGGGGGTTCTACTTCAACATTAGTAGGGGGAGGGGGTTCTACTTCAACAATAGTAGGGGGAGGGGGTTCTACTTCAACATTAGTAGGGGGAGGGGGTTCTACTTCAACAATAGTAGGGGGAGGGGGTTCTACTTCAACAATAGTAGGGGGAGGGGGTTCTACTTTAACAATAGTAGGGGGAGGGGTTCTACTTCAACAATAGTAGGGGGATGGGGTTCTACTTCAACAATAGTAGGGGGAGGGGGTTCTACTTCAACAATAGTAGGGGGAGGGGGTTCTGCTTCAACAATAGTAGGGGGAGGGGGTTCTACTTCAACAATAGTAGGGGGAGGGGGTTCTACTTCAACAATAGTAGGGGGAGGGGGTTCTACTTCAACAATAGTAGGGGGAGGGGGTTCTACTTCAACAATATTAGGGGGGAGGGGGTTCTACTTCAACAATAGTAGGGGGAGGGGTTTCTACTTAACAATAGTAGGGGGAGGGGGTTCTACTTCAACAATAGTAGGGGGAGGGGGTTCTACTTCAACAATAGTAGGGGGAGGGGGTTCTACTTCAACAATAGTAAGGGGAGGGGGTTCTACTTCAACAATAGTAGGGGAGGGGGTTCTACTTTAACAATAGTAGGGGGAGGGGGTTCTACTTCAACAATAGTAGGGGGAGGGGTTTCTACTTTAACAATAGTAGGGGGAGGGGGTTCTACTTCACTAATAGTAGGGGAAGGGGTTCTACATCAACAATAGTGGGGGGAGGGGGTTCTACTTCAACAATAGTAGGGGGAGGGGTTCTACTTCAACAATAGTAGGGGGAGGGGGTTCTACTTCAACAATAGTAGGGGGAGGGGGTTCTACTTCAACAATAGTAGGGGGAGGGGGTTCTACTTCAACAATATTAGGGGGAGGGGGTTCTACTTCAACAATAGTAGGGGGAGGGGGTTCTACTACAACAATAGTAGGGGGAGGGGGTTCTACTTCAACAATAGTAGGGGAGGGGGTTCTACTTCAACAATAGTAGGGGGAGGGGGTTCTACTTCAACAATAGTAGGGGGAGGGGGTTCTACTTCAACAATAGTAGGGGGAGGGGGTTCTACTTCAGTAATAGTAGTCAGCTAATTGACTGTATAGTACTGACTACTGATTATGTTGGATTTAACTTTCAATGTTTCAGGTTTAATCCGATCACGTTACGATTTGAGCCGTACCGAGAGCCGAGTATTTTCAAAACTATCACAGCTGTATCTGTTGTCATCATCACAGTAAGTGGGAAATGGTTTTGGGTTCTACTAATATATCCTATTTTTACACCCACAAATCTAATATTCTGCTTCACACTGGACTAAATCTAATATTCTGCTTCACAGTTCACACTGGACTAAATATAATTTTCTGCTTCACACTGGACTAAATATAATATTCTGCTTCACACTGGACTAAACTGTGAATATTTTCAGGTTATTGTAGTCATTATAACCCTGATCTCTATCATTATCTACAAAATAGCGGTGTACTCTATATTCGACCACATGTCTAACGGAAGCCTGAAACCCTACGCTGCTACGTTATCATCTGTCTCAGGGTCTATACTACAACTTATAGCCATTACCGTCCTATCTCAGGTATACTACTCTTCTTTTGTGTGTTTTTGTTTATTTATAAATAAAATCAGTGTTGAAAAAAACCATTTCAACTTGACATGGTTGTATGATAGTTGATTAATTTGAAATGGAGTTTCAAGAAATCAGCGACTCTTCAGTCCTGTTCACTATATCTGCAATCTAAAATATGCTATCTCAATGCAGGTCTATGCTTGGTTGGCGGAGAAGATCACTCTTTGGGAAAATTATCGAACAGAAACTGAATTCCAGAACAATCTGACTGTTAAAAGATTTATCTTTGAGTTTTTTAATTACTACGGCTCATGTTTCTACATCGCATTTGTCAAGGGAAAGTAAGTTGAGCTTCTGATAGAAGTTACTATTAAATCCTTTGTAGCTTAACAATGCTGATTAATGTTTATCTGATCAACTATATTTAGCGGCTTCAAAAACTGTGAAATAGTCGTATCAAAAGCATTTGTACTGTTTAGCGTTTTAAAAAAAAATCAAATTGTGAGATAAACTTCTCTAACAGTATTTAACACGCGAAACCTCTCAGTTTCGCTGGTACTCAGTATTTAACACGTTACCTCTCAGTTTCGCTTGTACTCAGTATTTAACACGTGACCTCTCAGTTTCGCTGGTATTTAACACGTTACCTCTCAGTTTCGCTTGTACTCAGTATTTAACACGTGACCTCTCAGTTTCGCTGGTATTTAACACATGACCTCTCAGTTTCGCTGGTACTCAGTATTTAACACGTGACCTCTCAGTTTCGCTGGTGTTTAACACATGACCTCTCAGTTTCGCTGGTACTCCGTACAACTACACGCGGATATTCGGAATACGTTTGGACACGTGTGGTCCTGGTGGGTGTCTAGGAGAGTTAGCTGAGAACTTGGCCATTATCTTCCTTGGTAAACAGATCATGAACAACTTCCAGGAACTCCTCATACCTATGATGAAGAGCTGGTGGTCACGGAGAAAGTCTAATCAATATCAGGTCAGTTGATTATTGATTCTCTATTTATTAATCCATAAAAATTATACATTCTTCTCTAAACACAATAAAGTTTGTCTACTGAGATGAAGGACAGTTCAAAGTAATCAAACCAAACTCTCACCAAGTCTGGCACAAATAAAGAACAAATATCAATATCAATGACCAATAAAACCCTCACACAGTCGGGTACTGATAAAGAACAGATATCAATATCCATGACCAATAAAACTCTCACATAGTCGGGTACTGATAAAGAACAGATATCAATATCCATGACCAATAAAACCCTCACACAGTCGGGTACTGATAAAGAACAGATATCAATATCCATGACCAATAAAACTCTCACATAGTCGGGTACTGATAAAGAACAGATATCAATATCCATGACCAATAAAACTCTCACACAGTCGGGTACTGATAAAGAACAGATATCAATATCCATGACCAATAAAACTCTCACACAGTCGGGTACTGATAAAGAACAGATATCAATATCCATGACCAATAAAACTCTCACATAGTCGGGTACTGATAAAGAACAGATATCAATATCCATGACCAATAAAACTCTCTCACAGTCGGGTACTGATAAAGAACAGATATCAATATCCATGACCAATAAAACTCTCTCACAGTCGGGTACTGATAAAGAACAGATATCAATATCCATGACCACACCATGGGAGGCTGATAACGATCTGGCTGAGCAGGAGAACCTTTTCCCAGAGTACTTGGAAATGGGTGGGTTCTTTTACTTTAACTGATTTTTAGTGATTGCTTCATTACTAATTTTAATGTTTACTCAACTAAACACCAATTTTTAACTGATTTTGAATTTTCTTAAGATAACTTTAAGCTCCACATTGAGTACTACAACGATAACTTATTTTCAGTTATTCAGTACGGTTTCGCAACAATGTTTGTTGTTGCTTTCCCTGTAGCCCCACTATTTGCTCTCATAAATAACGTGGTGGAGATTAGACTTGATGCTAAGAAATACACAGAACTACTCAAGAGACCAATACCTATCAACTGCATGAGTATAGGTATGTAATACCATATAAGGGCATCACGTGATACTGCAACTACCATATTAGGGCATCACGTGATACTGCAACTACCATATTAGGGCATCACGTGATACTGCAACTACCATATTAGGGCATCACGTGATACTGCAACTACCATATTAGGGCATCACGTGATACTGCAACTACCATATTAGGGCATCACGTGATACTGCAACTACCATATTAGGGCATCACGTGATACTGCAACTACCATATTAGGGCATCACGTGATACATAATAACACCAGTATAGGTATGTAATGCCACCACCATCTTATACATCTGAATACTGGTCAACCATATTGTTGTGATGTGTGACCGAGATTAACCAATAAAAACCCAGAATCACTGTCACGTGTCAAAACAAAATATGGTTCACCTTCCAGCTATCATTTTTTGTTGTCATGATCTACACTGTAACACATAATAACGTTGAAAGTATATTTAGATTTGACATTCATTTCCTTCCCAGGAATTTGGTATGGAATCCTGGACTATATGGCCTCAATTGCTATCATTACAAATGTAAGTAATTACAAATATTACTTATATCATTACCAATATCAGTATTATTAATGTTTGAAGATTTCTGAATATTTATTCGATCGATTATACAAGAAAGCTCAAAGAATTTATAACATCAGAAATGAGTATATATATATATATCTATAGGTAACTAATTAACTAATTAGGTAAATAATTACTTTACTCACCTCAGGCGTTCGTCATTGCATTTACATCAGATTTCGTTTCTCAAATCCTGTGGAAATATAACCATGACGACGGACTCGCAACATACGTTAAAGGTCATTTGTCTTCCTTTACGGGTCCTATTTTAAATGATCTAGGGGAAGAAGTGATAGACACTTGCAAGTAAGTTGTTAAGCCGAACACAATTACCTTATCGGACTATATTCGAACGGAAATTAATTGGACGCTGGCGATAAGTTTAGCGTTCATTTTAATGTTCGTTCAAATAAAGTCCGATGAGGTAATTAAATTAAATACTGATCATGATTGCATTCGAGTGTTCATTTTAAAGTACGTTCAAAATTATTTCCGTTCACGCAATGTCCAAAATAACGTCCGATAAAGTAACACAAGTTATTTATTAATAAAAGCAGTTCTTTACTATGTTACAATTTACAGGTACTGGGATTACAGACTAGAAAAGGGTGAAACATCTTTGTGGTGGTGGAAACTTAAAGCTGTCCAGTTTATATTCGTTGTAGTGTTCGAGGTAGGAACTTGAAAATATAATAAACTCAGCTCTCCGTAATAATAATCTTCTTTTGGATTTTGAATGATTAATAAGCGGTACTCTGCAAGTGTGACTATATCCTTAAATTAAACCTGCTTGAAGTTAAAACACTGGGACAGTCCCAGTGTTTTAACTAAAACCGTTTAATTTATTAACAACCCTCTAAAATATTTCTAATCCGCTACATTGGTAATAAAAGTGCACATTTCAGCACTTCGTGTTCACTATAGTGAGGTTGATAGACCTGCTGATACCTGATGTACCTGAGAAGCTGGAGGCTCTTATTCATCTGGAAGACAGTTTTGCCAGAGAGATGATGAAGGAAGTCATCGAGGTAACCACCTGTTTTACTCTTATTTTCTATCATATTTCTATCATTAAAAGATTAAAGTAATCTCCTGTTTTTATCATATTTTCATGATTTAAACGCGATTCTGAATGAAATATGCACACTTGTACTGCACTTCACACTTATAAATAATTCCAGATTGACCTCGAAAAGCTTGAAGACGTCCGAAACCGCGTAAAAGTCAAAAAGAGACAGCGACAGAAATATGACTGAGCGTCATTCCTTACTGGACAGTTACCATCCATACCTGCGGAGCTGAAAGAAAGCCAGATCTTTACCCATTTAACAGACTTGACGATGAACTTTGAATTTAATCTTCTTACTGGTTTTAGGATTTGGGTTCAATATAATCGGGATTATACTTGTGAACTTGTGCTCTTTTTATCAGTAGATATACCCCTTGTGTATATCACCCTCTGGGGTGTATGTGTTGCTTCTGACTTATCAGTAGTGTTACACTGACTAGTGACTATCAGCAGTGTTACACTGACTAGTGACTATCAGCAGTGTTACACTGACTAGTGACTATCAGCAGTGTTACACTGACTAGTGACTATCAGTAGTGTTACACTGACTAGTGACTATCAGCAGTGTTACACTGACTAGTGACTATCAGCAGTGTTACACTGACTAGTGACTATCAGCAGTGTTACACTGACTAGTGTTACACTGACTAGTGACTATCAGCAGTGTTACACTGACTAGTGACTATCAGCAGTGTTACACTGACTAGTGACTATCAGTAGTGTTACACTGACTAGTGACTATCAGCAGTGTTACACTGACTAGTGACTATCAGCAGTGTTACACTGACTAGTGACTATCAGCAGTGTTACACTGACTAGTGACTATCAGCAGTGTTACACTGACTAGTGACTATCAGCAGTGTTACACTGACTAGTGACTATCAGTAGTGTTACACTGACTAGTGACTATCAGCAGTGTTACACTGACTAGTGACTATCAGCAGTGTTACACTGACTAGTGACTATCAGTAGTGTTACACTGACTAGTGACTATCAGTAGTGTTACACTGACTAGTGACTATCAGCAGTGTTACACTGACTAGTGACTATCAGCAGTGTTACACTGACTAGTGACTATCAGCAGTGTTACACTGACTAGTGACTATCAGCAGTGTTACACTGACTAGTGACTATCAGCAGTGTTACACTGACTAGTGACTATCAGCAGTGTTACACTGACTAGTGACTATCAGCAGTGTTACACTGACTAGTGACTATCAGCAGTGTTACACTGACTAGTGACTATCAGCAGTGTTACACTGACTAGTGACTATCAGCAGTGTTACACTGACTAGTGACTATCAGCAGTGTTACACTGACTAGTGACTATCAGTAGTGTTACACTGACTAGTGACTATCAGCAGTGTTACACTGACTAGTGACTATCAGCAGTGTTACACTGACTAGTGACTATCAGCAGTGTTACACTGACTAGTGACTATCAGCAGTGTTACACTGACTAGTGACTATCAGCAGTGTTACACTGACTAGTGACTATCAGCAGTGTTACACTGACTAGTGACTATCAGCAGTGTTACACTGACTAGTGACTATCAGCAGTGTTACACTGACTAGTGACTATCAGCAGTGTTACACTGACTAGTGACTATCAGCAGTGTTACACTGACTAGTGACTATCAGCAGTGTTACACTGACTAGTGACTATCAGCAGTGTTACACTGACTAGTGACTATCAGCAGTGTTACACTGACTAGTGACTATCAGCAGTGTTACACTGACTAGTGACTATCAGTAGTGTTACACTGACTAGTGACTATCAGCAGTGTTACACTGACTAGTGACTATCAGCAGTGTTACACTGACTAGTGACTATCAGCAGTGTTACACTGACTAGTGACTATCAGCAGTGTTACACTGACTAGTGACTATCAGCAGTGTTACACTGACTAGTGACTATCAGCAGTGTTACACTGACTAGTGACTATCAGCAGTGTTACACTGACTAGTGACTATCAGCAGTGTTACACTGACTAGTGACTATCAGCAGTGTTACACTGACTAGTGACTATCAGCAGTGTTACACTGACTAGTGACTATCAGCAGTGTTACACTGACTAGTGACTATCAGCAGTGTTACACTGACTAGTGACTATCAGCAGTGTTACACTGACTAGTGACTATCAGCAGTGTTACACTGACTAGTGACTATCAGCAGTGTTACACTGACTAGTGACTATCAGTAGTGTTACACTGACTAGTGACTATCAGCAGTGTTACACTGACTAGTGACTATCAGCAGTGTTACACTGACTAGTGACTATCAGTAGTGTTACACTGACTAGTGACTATCAGTAGTGTTACACTGACTAGTGACTATCAGCAGTGTTACACTGACTAGTGACTATCAGCAGTGTTACACTGACTAGTGACTTATCTGTAGGATCAGCATTATCTTTAATCTTTAGGTGTATGCATGGTTTCCAATGAACATTGAGTAGGTGACGACACAGAATTCTTATCGTGAGGTTTAAAATGAGTATTCGTGTTTGAGGCACCATTTTCAGCCATGTTTTTGTTTTTAACAAACAAAATTAAGTGGTTGAATAATGAATATGTGGGACATCGTAATGATTTCATGGAACTTTGGATTGAAGAAATTGACATTAAGAATAGAAAAACTTGAAGGTTATTTTTAAAATGCATGTTATCATGAAGTAGTAAGAATGTTGAGCAAGTTGACCTTGTATTACAGATATTAAAATCAGTTCCAAATCAGGTTATAAAAAGGTGCGGTGCACTTTCCGCTGGATAATTAAAATAAAAGGACTAATTTTTCGGTTTCAAAAATATAAATTGATTGAGATAAAACATTTTTACATGTAACTTGAAGTTGCTGTCAAAAATTGTTTTACCGTTTTGTAGGATTCAGTTTTAGCATGTACATGAGCTTATGTAAATTTCAAGTTGTTTTTATCTCAAAGAAGTCTTCAGTGATCTTTATAAATTATTTTTTGTATCGTCAAGATGAGGTGATGAATCCAGCTTTACAAATATGGTTCTAAAATTGTGAAGTTGCAAAATCGGTAACCAAAAGCGGAACTAATTTCGATATATATCTCGTACCACATTTCCATGCGAGAGAGTGACATTAAACTCAAAAAATAAAATATAACACAAAAATCCTTTTAAAAGTTGTACTCTTACATTTTTAACGAGGTGAGAATTATCGCCCACCACCGCGATCGTCTACTGATATTACCTGGGGACCCCATATTATTACTGATAGCGATCGTCTACTGATATCACCTGGGGACCCCATATTATTACTGATAGCGTTTTAAATCTCGGGCTCCTTTCAAGTCCCTCAGTTCCTTGGTCCACAAATGGGCGAAAATTATAATCCGAGTGTAACTCCTTGAGCCAGGCTAGTTTGCCGGATAATCCGAGTGTAACTCCTTGAGCCAGGCTATTTTGCCGGATAATCCGACTGTAACTCCTTGAGTCAGGCTAGTTTGCCGGATAATCCGAGTGTAACTCCTTGAGCCAGGCTAATTTGCCGAATAATCCGAGTGTAACTCCTTGAGCCAGGCTAGTTTGTCAGATAATCCGAGTGTAACTCCTTGAGTCAGGCTAGTTTGCCGAATAATCCGAGTGTAACTCTTTGAGCCAGGCTAGTTTGCCAAATAATCCGAGTGTAACTCCTTGAGCCAGGCTATTTTGTCGGATAATCCGAGTGTAACTCCTTGAGTCAGGCTAGTTTGCCGGATAATCCGAGTGTAACTCCTTGAGCCAGGCTAATTTGCCGGATAATCCGAGTGTAACTCCTTGAGCCAGGCTAGTTTGCCGGATAATCCGAGTGTAACTCCAATTGAGCCAGGCTAATTTGCCGGATAATCCGAGTGTAACTCCTTGAGCCAGGCTAGTTTGTCGGAGACTCGGATAATCCAAGTTTAACTCCTTGAGTCAGGCTAGTTTGCCGGATAATCCAAGTGTAACTCCTTGAGCCAGGCTAATTTGCCGGATAATCCGAGTGTAACTCCTTGAGCCAGGCTAGTTTGCCGGATAATCCGAGTGTAACTCTTTGAGCCAGGCTAGTTTGCCGGATAATCCGAGTGTAACTCCTTGAGCCAGGCTAGTTTGCCGGATAATCCGAGTGTAACTCCTTGAGCCAGGCTAGTTTGCCGGATAATCCGAGTGTAACTCTTTGAGCCAGGCTAGTTTGCCGGATAATCCGAGTGTAACTCCTTGAGCCAGGCTAGTTTGCCGGATAATCCGAGTGTAACTCTTTGAGCCAGGCTAGTTTGCCGGATAATCCGACTGTAACTCCTTGAGCCAGGCTAGTTTGTCGGATAATCCGAGTGTAACTCCTTGAGTCAGGCTAGTTTGCCGGATAATCCGAGTGTAACTCCTTGAGCCAGGCTAATTTGCCGGATAATCCGAGTGTAACTCCTTGAGCCAGGCTAGTTTGCCGGATAATCCGAGTGTAACTCCTTGAGCCAGGCTAGTTTGCCGGATAATCCGAGTGTAACTCCTTGAGCCAGGCTAGTTTGCCGAATAATCCGAGTGTAACTCCTTGAGCCAGGCTAGTTTGCCGAATAATTTGAGTGTAACTCCTTGAGCCAGGCTAGTTTGCCGAATAATCCGAGTGTAACTCCTTGAGCCAGGCTAGTTTGCCGGATAATCCGAGTGTAACTCCTTGAGCCAGGCTAGTTTGTCAGATAATGCGAGTGTAAATCCTTGAGTCAGGCTAGTTTGCCGAATAATCCGAGTGTAACTCTTTGAGCCAGGCTAGTTTGCCAAATAATCCGAGTGTAACTCCTTGAGCCAGGATATTTTGCCGGATAATCCGACTGTAACTCCTTGAGTCAGGCTAGTTTGCCGGATAATCCGAGTGTAACTCTTTGAGCCAGGCTAGTTTGCCGGATAATCCGAGTGTAACTCCTTGAGCCAGGCTAGTTTGCCGGATAATCCGAGTGTAACTCTTGAGCCAGGCTAGTTTGCCGGATAATCCGAGTGTAACTCCTTGAGCCAGGCTAGTTTGCCGGATAATCCGAGTGTAACTCTTTGAGCCAGGCTAGTTTGCCGGATAATCCGACTGTAACTCCTTGAGCCAGGCTAGTTTGTCGGATAATCCGAGTGTAACTCCTTGAGCCAGGCTAGTTTGCCGGATAATCCGAGTGTAACTCCTTGAGCCAGGCTAGTTTGCCGAATAATCCGAGTGTAACTCCTTGAGCCAGGCTAGTTTGCCGGATAATCCGAGTGTAACTCCTTGAGCCAGGCTAGTTTGTCGGATAATCCGAGTGTAACTCCTTGAGCCAGGCTAGTTTGCCAGATAATTGGGGTGTAACTCCTTGAGCCAGGCTAGTTTGCCGAATAATCCGAGGGTAACTTCTTGAGCCAGGCTAGTTTGCCGGATAATCCGAGTGTAACTGATCCTTGAGCCAGGCTAGTTTGCCGGATAATCCGAGTGTAACTCCTTGAGCCAGGCTAGTTTGCCGGATTTTAAATCGGGTCTCCTAATTCTCACATCTTCCGCTCTCTGTTTCCCAACGATAAACCAGACAATCGCGTTTATTCCTTCAAAACGTCAGTTTTAACTATGACAGAAATCCTAACAGTCAGATACAAGATTTGGGGTAACCAACTATACTTTCTTCTCTCAGAGTCAGTCCCAGCGGACAAGGAGGGCTGGACAATCGAGACGGGTGTGCTGAGTGCTCGAGGACGTATTTCCCGCTATTTGCAATAACAACTGCATTAGATTATCGATGATGCTGGGAGTAAACCAGTTGTAAAGAGGGGCACTAAACCAAGTCAACGAAACGCAAGTTTTTAAAGCTATTAATAGAGAGTGACTAAAAGTAAAGGATATAAATAGTTATATACCTTATCGGACCTTATTTGGACGGACATTAAATGAACGGACATAATTATGAACGGACATTAATATGAACGCTAAATTCTAGAAGGCATTCAAAGCCATCAAAAATCCGAATTCTTTTTCTTTCTTTTTTTACGTTTCTTTATTTCAGCAAATGATTTTTAAATCCATTTTTTATACAGTAAGTAAGAAAAGCAGTCGTTCAGCAGTAAACATTTTAAAATATGTGTACATGATCAGTATCTTATATCACATATCATCTTCATCAAATGGGTTTTCGTGCATGAAATACTAAATAGTCCATGCTTAAAGCATCAGTGATTTCTAGCTTTATCATTATGGAAACCTTTTTTCATCAAACTACCCCGGTCTTGCATTTCAGTGTTAACTTTTACAAGCCATTCGGCGTGAAGTGGTTTTACCTTAGACAACTTTAAGTTAATCTTAAAATCACGTGGAGCTTTCCTAGTACTGTTTCATTACCTCCCCTGAGTAATATGAACTATAACAAGGTCAGACAATGTCCTTGGCAACACGATTTACCGTAATATCTAGAGGCTAGAACAAGTTTGTCATGTTGGCGGAGACTAGCTCATGAACTATGTCATTGAGTACCATAATTTCGTTGACTTTTTTCGCCAAGTGACCCTTGAAAACATCATATCCCAGTAAAGTTTTCTGTACCTCCGGCAGACCAAGGAGAACCGTTCCGTTGTTAACTAATAACTTACGGCACAATAAAGCTAAAGTTCTCATAGTTGTCATATTCTGGACGAAAAGTTAGAATTTTTGAAAAAATTTCAACGGACTTTAACTTGGACGGACCTTAAATGAACGGACTTTATTTGAACGGACATTAAAATGAACGTTATATTAGGGCCTCTAGCGTTCAATTAATGTCCGTCCAAATAAGGTCCGATAAGGTAGTTAGCTAGGAGTATTCCTTAAAAGAAAGTTTTAATCACATCAACAAAATATCCATCCCATACAGCCCAATAAAACATAAAATTAAAACACTTTGAACACAAGTGGTTTGTAAATGGGCCATTGTTAGCCCCAAGCGTTTTGGTCCCTCATTCCTGCCACTCAGCATTGCCTACTGTAAAGTAGAAACTTTTCTAAGACAATAGAGAAATTGACCCTGTCTCACTAAATTCCCCTAAATTCAACCACTTACCATAATAAAAATACTAACAACCAAATAAAGTTTTTTAAATAAAGAATATTTCCTCAAGTTTACGTCTAGCTAACTAATTCGTGGTTTAAGCTCTTATTTTATTTATGATTAAAGGAATGTAAAATAAAACTTTTCGTTTCATTGAAAACTTTTCGTTTCATTGAACACAATTGCCACAAAATCGATCAAAATGCTCTTCCAGCAACCTTTGCTTATCTTGTCAAATTATAACTTGTTCTCTTCATTGCTTCGCCAGAGAATCTGCAACAAACAAGTATATTATATTTGAGTAATAGTTAAGATTCTGTGATTGTTTTTACCAAACCCCAAAATTGGGTAGAGTGGACTGTGGCCACTGTGTCTGTATTTCCTTTCTCGGCCCGCGTTATAGCGAGGGGCGTTTTACTTATAGCGAGGTACTTCTGTAATTACTATGGAGTTATCGTAATGTAACTGTCACTCCTTTCTCAGCTCCAATAGTTCATTGTCCGTTTATTTCTAGATTTCCATAGAAGCCACAAAGTAAGGGACTAGATTCTGAATTCAATGGTAAAACGATTAACCTTGCCCTCAGAAACTTGCCACTAGGATCATTGTGCTAAGAGATTACATACTATAACTATTGC